TATTACAGGAGCGGCGGGGGACAGCAAGTAGAAATCCTTTGTGAATGAACCGGGGTCGGACATAGAAACCGGTTCTCCTCCAGATTTAATCTCCGCGTCCCCACTTGACACGCGACATTCGTGCGGATGACCCCTCATTGAACACTCGTTCGCTCCAGTTTTACCCTGCTCTTGAATTCCTCATACTTGTAATGAGTCTTACCTAATAGTGCGGTTCACGACGAGAGTGGTGTGGAGAATCTGTGACTCAGAACCGCTGAATATGCGGAAGAGAGGGGTTTCTGAAAGCTTAGTCATTCTTAGAACACGCGACGGTCAATTAGTGGGGGCCCATGACGTTCTTACGATTAAGAAATTCAGAGCGAGGACTAAACCGGTTTAGTTCCTTTCCGTTCACTACGCAAAGTTCTGACGACCAAAGACAAATGCGTCGATGTATCGAGATTTCCTGATTGGTCTATCGATTCTCCGATTTTATATTGTCCTTTTAATAAGCAAGAATTGCAATATGTAGTTCTGGCCAGGTTCTGGTTTACTGTGACACCGCAGATGCGTTGTTAAATAACGTGAACACCAGTGAACAGTCGTTTAACAGGCGTCGTGTCAGCGTGAGTGTCCACTGCCCCCAGCTGCTTTCTTCGCCGTGTGAATGGAGACACCATGAGTGGTCGCGGTGAGTCACACGAAAACAGTCATAATAAGCGGCATTCTTTTATGAATCACCCAGTAGTAGTTGTAACACAGGCGTTTTTGTTTGCCTTGTTGCTGAGTGTGTCACGTAACTCGACTATTGAGAACGTCAGCTGATCGAGCACTTTCGCTAGAATTAATGTAATAAATGTTGTCAGTGGAACGACGGTTCCGGAGAATTTGACGTAAATACGTCTATACGGAAAGGAAGTTTATGTATTGGCTTTATTCTAAATATTTCCTTTATACATGCTTTACAATTGAGTAAAGTTTGATTAAGACATTGCTTATTTAACTTGAATTAGTTACGTTTAAGATGGGTCTGTGGTAGCTGAATGTAATGTAAAGTAATGTAATGTTTTATAGGTAACAACAATGCCGAGTAAACACGACGTTCCCTAGGTACACTTGTTACACTTTTTCGCCGAATGACCCTTCCTTATAGACGTATTTACGTCAAAAAACGAAACACTTTCGATCCAAGTAATCGTAAAGAGCGTACGATTTACTGAAACTGATTATCCGTGTCGAGCATTTCGGGTTGTAATTCAGCTCGCCGATTGATCTGAGTAAGAATTTGACAACAAGAGTGCAAAAGTGCCTGTGTGTAGAGCCTACTGTTATGGCGCTAATGCCTGTCGCGAAAAATGACGCACGGTTTCGACCCAAAAACTGTATTTCGTACTTTGACAGACAAGTGTTTGGTGTCGTACTGATCCTGTATCCCCCTTGCGTCATGGACTGGCGAAGCCATTACGAGAGTTTTCAGTGCGTGCCGAATTATTCGCGATGAAATAATTTATTAAATTTCCGTAGAATCCCATGGCCGTCCGTAACTGTCTTCCGCTTGAAATCCGATGGCTGTCCGTATCGAGGTTACAGATCCATCGTGAAGAAGGCAGCCGATTTTAAATTCTACGCCTGTTCCAAGTGACCTTCTGGTCGCCTGCACCACTCCTCGTCATATCCTTATTTGCGATCAGCGAAGAAACAGAATTCTCTCGACTCTTTGAAGGACAGTCCGTCCGATTTCTCTTCCTTGTATGTGGAAGTCTGCAGATTGAATTCGTCACAGTCCAGACCCTTGATCACATAAAAGCTTATGGACAATGGCATTCTTGATCGCAAACTCCTCGTGTCTTCAGAAAAAGCAAACCTCACCGAAGAAATGTTTCCAAGGTGAAGTTCATATTTGCTTATTACTGGAACGGTTTAGTTGACTGCAGGTCAGTTAACCGATCGCTCAGCCGAAAGAAATTTTAAACCCCACAAGCGCTGCGAGGCTTCGTAGTAACGCACTCCATTACGAAGTATGAACATCGCGTCTCTCGTAGCCGTTTGTCATAGTTCGGATTACGAATGAAGATGAGATTTCTGTTTCATGAGGAACAAGTTCTCTAATGACGTATAAAACTGCTAATATCCATGAGTCACTGCAGAGTAACGCCGTACCTGTTGGCCTTCGATACTCCAAACTCGTGCAAAAACATTATCTGTGGAATTCGTAATTATTTTATACGGTCGAAAGCTAAAGTTTAATGAAAAGTCTGCCTGAGCTTTTAGGTTTCTCCACGGGCGAAAATTTCGACCGCGGTCTTCTCGGCTGTGAGGCTTGTATAAATCGTCTTAGCTCTTGCAATTCTGATGCCACGTGGAATGCAGATCAAAGACTTTCCGGGTACTTTCCCCGAACCAGATTCTTCCGAATTTTGTCGTGATTGCATATTTACGTTCCTCAGGGCATTCATTTCATTGCGAACTCCATTGTTTCCCTATCACACGCTGTTCATCGCTGAGAAATCAGCACACCGTTCGACGCCAATCGGCTGTCAGCGCGACTTGATCGTGTTCTGGATGAATCCGTTTCAGACCTCGGCCGGAAAACGGATTGTTTTGACAAAGGGTGTTCATGGTTCTCCTCAGTCCATCCACACGAGTTCCCTTGTCGTGCCTTCAAAGAGATCACAGGGCCCTCCTCCAAGTTCACCTTCATTCTAACATCTGATGCTGGAATGAACTCATTATCGCAGGCTCGTGCTGAGAATCCGGCGCCTCCAACATGTGCCATGATCGCACCGAATGGCCTGAGGTTACTTCTAGTCGTCATCGGCTGATGAACAAAGCAAGATCATCTTGCAGATTCCGAGAAGGAAGATGGTGACGTGATGTCGCATGATACACTCACCAATCAGTGCTCCGAAGTGGGAATAATATCATCATCATCATCATAAATCGCGTGGTGTTAACTGTTTTAAGCACGAAGCACATCCAAATAGTATTCAGGAATTTAGCCAATAATTCAAAGAAAGGAACTCGTCTCAATGACGATGAATTGCTTAATGCTACTTATTGTGAGAATCATACGAAACTCACAAGTTCACCGTGTGTTCAAAATTTGCAGAGTTACAGGATGTTAAAGCAGTTGGTTCGTGTTCTTTTGAGGGGCAACTTTCGCCATCTGAAAGACCAGTCGGACTGGATTTAGAGGTTAAAGGCCTTAATTTTTATTTGGCACGTGAAATAGACGCAATGGCTGTTTAAGTTTCCGACACTCCGGTAAACCTGTTGATGGAGGCGCTCTTACGTAATGGGCTCCGGTTCGTAACTAACCATTTCGAAACAACTACTCTTGGACTCCCGAACCATGACTGTTTATAAGAAGTTTACAGCCTGTGTTCCGGGTTTGTCGGTTTGCGGTCATTGATGAAACATCTCATTGTATTTGCAGTCTGGGGGGCCTTCAAATTTTACAGGAAGTTAAAAAAAGGCATATTGCAACTTTTCTCGGACCTAACACGTTGAAATTTCTCACACGACTTTAATAATCTCGTGATTAATGCGTGTGAATTCAAAGTCTCTTTGTGTATAGTCTGATTGGTATAGAACGGCACAAACCATTAGGAGATGTTTGATATGTAGATAGATATTTGGCTCCAGGAAGTCAGTAAAACCACGAAAATCCTTGGGGTGCGTGTGTCACCCGGACTGTTGGCCCATTATTAACTGAAGCTGACTCATAATTTGATTAGCATTAATTTTCTTTACGAGCTGATAATGAAGGCTGATAAGGAAGGTACATTACGTAAGGCGACGGAAGATATGAACTTGCTCCATTGCTCGTACGATCTGAAGTCAGCTGCAGGAGCACGTATCTCTTGCGTTCGGGATTTTACCAGATAAAGAGCACAGACCTCTGACCGCATTGACGCTTACTGAATCATATGACTCAGTAATTTAACAGATTATTTGTTTGACTTATTAGTTATTAGGTCAGAAATCAGTATTTAACGCAGATAGTGACTGCGTTTTCATTAGAGAGTCACAGAATACAGAAACCTGAGCCTACTAGCAGGTGTAATGTCGCAGGCATGACGCA